ACTGTTGGACTTGTTTGATCTTTTCACCTTTGCTAATGAGATTACAACTGGGTTTGCTGCTTTTTTGGATATTGCCATGCATTCTGTTTTCTTGCCTTTTTTTAGCTATAGTAATTTAATATACAAAGCAGTTTTTTTCTTTTGATAGCCGTGCTCATCATAATAGTCACATTATTATATTAGAATTTCCCGCGGAGAGAAACTGAAGGTGTAATACCGATATCTACAATTAGTACTTATGCGACACTTATTATAATTAAAAAGCTGTTAACGGAGAGCACCCTGGCTTGAAAAAAAAAGAAGAAACACCACCAGCAACAACAACAATAACAATTAGACAAATAACATACAGATCTAAGCATGTTAGTTTCAACTTGAATAACGAAGTCATGCATTGAGTTCGAGTCTGTCGCGTATCAGAAAAAGAAATTTAAAAGCTTTCGAAACGAAAATGTCTTTCGAATATTTCAGCCACACCCCTGATCTAAGGGTAGGTAAGACGTAATGTCTCTCCTTCCTGGATAAGGGCGAACAGTCTCGGAGGTCTCGTGTGTAAGCTGCACACAATAAAGATCACTTTCTAGTTATCCTAAAATCGACGAGTAGGCTTCGGCCGCCACCCAAGCAAAATTAATTCCACCAAAACTGAAAATACTCCAGCCAGTAATAAAACATTTCTAGTACCTTCGAAACCGGACTGTAGTCTGGCAAGGAGCCGTACAAAGTAAAAACAAAAAGCAACAACAAACGAGTACATAATATGTAAAAAAAAAATAAAATAAAATTATCAGTTGTACTGCAGGATGAAGAACCAACAGTCAATAAGCCTTGAGATCTATAGGAACGCAAAGAAGAAAAACAGAAGAATAGATGAGCACTTCTGTCTTTGACAATATTGGTGGTAGTCTTGTTAGACAAGTCCGACTGAGCAATAACAAGCGTCCGCTCGTGCTATCTAGATCATAGATCCTACACCTACAACATGAACATGCTTGGACTTTGAGAAAAATAATGTTTACCTTCCTTTATGCTGAACGCAGGCTTTGCTGGGGACGTCCTCTTTTAATAGCTACATCCAAGCGCGCGGCTTTTATAGTAGTATAGCACAACAGAGTCACTGTCACGTCGCCCTAGACACACACACGAATACTACGTCACAGAAAGCTTTTGGGCTTATCCAACTGTGACGACATTCTGTTGACAGCTCTGCTTGGAAGACGTTATTTTTAATTTAAAATCAAACAAAGTTGTTACGATTATATAATTTGTAGATTTTAGTTTGTTGTTGTTGTTGTGTGTGTGTGTTTGTGTGTGTGTGTGTGTGTGTGTGTGTGTGTGT